GTCAAAGCGGCCGGCTGTACCTTGTTAAGGACTCGGTAGTTGATATTCTGATATTCGTTGAGGCGCCCAGGTATCACCCAAAGGATTTGGCTATATTAACGATATTACCTCGTCGGTGTAAGGATTATTGTTTATGACGGCCAAATGTAGAAATAGTTCCTTGGACTTCTGCTCGCTATGCAAGGTGTTCATGAGAAAGCAATGGATCTAATTCACAGCTCTTTCTATTTGGCGGAACAAAGTACCTGTTCGCTTTCTAAAACATCTAATCCCTAACCATATTATTAACAAATGTCTTACACTTCTATATCCTTTCCCAGCATCTCCTTATATATTTTTATCAGAAAAATTTGTTCCATAACTTTGAACAAAATGAAAATGAAATGAACAAATTAATTCCAAAATAAATGAATCCATCTCGCTCTTCCACCTATTTGGGGGCATCAGCTTTTTTTTCGTCTTTTAGACTTCGTAGAGTATCTCCTGGCTTTCTAATATATCTAATTCTCGTACATAATGTTTTTTTATTCATCCTATGTTCTGGTCCAACATCGATTCTTTGTTTTTATAACGCCCCACCCCCCCCCCCCCAAACAAACAAAGTGGAGGGTATATTAAGTTCGTCAATTCGTTTGTAACTCATCGAAATAATCATTTTAGATTCAACAGAGTATATATATTCTGTTGTAACCACGCTACAGTCAAAACGAATTAAGATAGAAAGCTAAATTTTTGCACAGATCTGTCTATTGTCTGCAGACAGGTCAAGTTCGATGATAACGGTACCCCCGATTTTCGGTATTTTGATGATTTTAGCCACATTTTTCAATGGAATTGTATGAAATCACACACAAAGGAATCTTGTGAGAAGAGAATTATCTATATAGGTCCACGATATCGTATAGCCCCCTTATAACGAAACCCCCCGATTTTCGGTATTTTGATGATTTTAGCCACATTTTTCAACGGAATGGTCCATTGGAAGAGAATTATCTAAATAGGTCCACGATATCGTATAGCCTCCATATATCGCAACTTCCGATATTAGGTATTTTAAAGATTTTAACAGAATTTTTAATGGATTTTATTTTTTTTTTTTTTTGAAAATGTCCTAATTATTTCCAAATGGTGGAGGGTATTCAAAGTTAAGTTCTTAACTGGGCCATGTAGGTCCACGTCTTCGTATAACCCCCATACAACGGTACCTCCCAATATTCGATATTTTGATGATTTTAGCGTCATTATTCACCGGAATTGTTTTAAATTTGGTATTTGAAGTTCGTAATGGACTCTATAGCCAAAGACAGAAAATTGTCAGTGCAGGTCCACGTCTTCGTATAGCCACCATATAACGGTACCTCCCGATATTCGGTATTTTGATGATTTTAGCGACATTATTCAGCGGAATTGTTTCAAATTTGGTATTTGAAGTTCGTAATGGATACTACAGCCTATGACAGAAAATTGTCTGTGCAGGTCCACGTCTTCTTACAGGCCCCGTATAACGGTACCTCCCGATATTCGGTATTTTGATGATTTTAGCGACATTATTCAGCGGAATTGTTTCCAATTTGGTATTTGAAGTTCCTAATGGATACTACAGCCTATTGTCTGTGCAGGTCCACGTCTTCTTACAGCCCCAATATAACGGTACCTCCCGATATTCGGTATTTTGATGATTTTAGCGTCATTATTCACCGGAATTATTTCAAATTTGCTATTTGAAGTTCGTAATGGACTCTATGGCCAAAGACAGAAAATTGTCTGTGCAGGTCCAGGTCTTCGTATAGCTCCGATATAACGGTACCTCCCTATAAACGGTATTTTGATGATTTTAGCTACATTATTCAACGTTTATTTCATGTTTCGAATTTGAATATGGTAATGGCTTATGACAAACAATGCCTATGTAGGTCCACGTCGTATAGACCCCAATATAACGGCTATTTTCGGCTCTTTTATGATTTTAAAAGAATTTCTAACGGAATTCATTTTTTGAAAATTTCCAAATTCGTTCCAAATGGTGGATGGTATTCATAATTCGGCCCGGCCTAACTTACAGCTTTTTTACTTGTTTATATCATTATCATTTATTCCTCCTCTGTTCTATAACTTTGAACAATATATAATAGAAATGAGTAGAAGTTAATTGCCTAAACCAATTGTATTGTTATTTTATGTGCACATTTTCACATTGGATAAATGTTATCTTTACAACATTTCATTTAAAGGGTCTTCCTTCGACTAATTATTTCACATGCTCTTAAAATTTTTTAGGGTCATTTTTTTAAAGCTATAAAAGACATCAAATTAAACTTGCATTTAATTGCAGATGTACAAAATAGCCGAGCTTGGTTCTAAATGTTTTTTGATAACTTTTTTTTTATAATCTTGCTCGACTTGTTTCCATCTCATTACAATAGTAATAATCATAATAAAACACAAGAAATAGTATGTAAGTTATTTCATTTAAATTTGTTGTAAAAAATATTTAAAATGGATACTATCTGGAAAAAACAAAAAATAATATTTCCAAATTATTATTATTTTTGTTTTTTTTTTTTTGTTTAAGATGTATGTATGTCGAAAAAGTATGTTTTATTGGCCTCCAAAGTAAATGTTATTTGTCTTATGTGTTCTAATTGTGTCTTTTTTAATTGGGTTATTATTGAAATATTTTTTAATATTTGAAAAGTGTACAAAATGTGTTGCAATGTATCTTTGTATCAAGCGAGGTTAGTGTTTTTAAATGTTAAAACGAGAGGGGTTTAATATTTTTCATACTCTGGGCCTCTAATTCATGGTTTAGGAGGGTATTGTGTTTGTATATTTGTTTGTAATATTTAGAAATTGACATACGTAATCTTCTTAATATCGATTTCTGGGTCAATGCATTTGCTCCGTTTCGTTATGAAGCCCATAAGATCCGATTATTGCAAAATCGTTGCACAGGAACAAGGATTCTATTGATTGGCGGCTTCAACTACTAGTATTTTTAAAATTATTAATCTACAAATTGTCTCCCCCAATTCTAATTCTAATTTATTTTTATATTTTATTTTCCTCCCCTTTTTTTACAGATGAAAAATTCAAACACAAATGCAAGCAAAATATTAATAAAAATGATAACAACAAGACAAACAACAGTAATAAGAAAAAGAATAATTTAATTAAATCTTATAAAGAAAGTCATAGCAACAACAATTGTGCTAACTGTAATTACAATATAACCATAAAAAAGCTAAGAATAGAAATAAATCGAATTCAAATGATGTATAATTCATAAAATAAATTATTAAATAATTCAGGAAATTATATAAAACAAAAAAAAAAAAAAAACTAATAAAATCGAACTTCTATTATAATAAAAACTTAAAACTGAAAGTGTTAAAAAATAAATATAATAAAATATAACTTTAAAACAACAAACCTTTACATATTTGTAGTTTTTCAAAGGAAGTATGAAGAATGTTCCTGTTATACATACCTTTGCAAATATTTGGGGGCATTTTTTAAGTTATTTATTTTTTAAAGCAATTGAATCAAAAAGCTTTTAGTTTTTTATTATAATTATTATTTTAAACATTGTATTAAATGATTCTCTGGCAGATTTTTAATTTGTAAATAAAATGTTTAATTAAAAAATAGAACTAATATGAAAATTATTGTTTAGTTGTTAATCAGCTTACTATTTTTTCTCTAGCAAATTTTATTATATCAAATTTATATGAAAAAAGTATTGTTTTAATTTGATATATATTATAAAATAAAAATAATAACTTCTATAATTTTTGTTGTTTATTTTGATTTAGCTACTTTTAATTTTTATGCCCTACAACGCTATATGTTGATGTTATAGGGTGCGGTTTTAATATCCTCCACTTCAAATTTACTTAAAGTAGCCCGATAAAGTAATGCCCTCTCTATACTCACTTTCCAAGAAAAACGGCCTAATTATGCCTCTGGACCAAAATTCACAGCAGTGATTCGTTTTGATCACCTCGGTTTTTTAATGTAAATGCGCCGATTTTCTATGCACCAAATCCTCTGATAGCTTTGGCCGACAGCTTTTAAATTATTCCAGTGACAGCTTTTTATATTGTTTATAAGCGTTCAAAAGCAGAAGCCCCGGCCATGGTGATGGTGTGGGCCGCCGATGGTCGCTCTCCGCTTTTAATCGACCGTGGCATCAAAATAAATGCCAACTATTATATCGAAAATATTCTGGAGGTTGTATTAAAGCCTTGGGCTTGCAAACATTTTGGCAGCAGACCTTGGAAATTCCAAGAGGAATTAGCACCATCGCACTCAGCGCGCCACCCAAGAACGGCTACAGAATGAGGTTCCTCGCTTCATTTCCAGCGCACAATGGCCACAAAATCTCCGGATACCAATCCGTCGGACTATTGTGTCTGGAGTATTTTGGAAAGCAAGGTTAGCACTAAAAAAATACCAAAGTGTCGATCACCTCAAGCAAGCGCTTCGCCGGGAATGGGCCAAAATATCTCAGAGTAACATTCGGGCAGCGTGTGAGGGTTTCATTGGCCGTTTGAGGGCCATACTTCTTGCCTAAGGTTACCAATTCGAACAAATCTAAACTTATTCTAAAATTTGATGCTATTTCTGACATTTTTTGCTCTCATTCAATAAAATTAAAAAAAAAAAATTAAAAATTTTGTCGTTTGACTTTGTTGTAATTTTTTATCTCACCCTGTATGCCATATGAGTTCTCCCAGGAATATTAAGAGGTACTGCAAACGAGGGCAATGAGGGTATAAAAAAGATTGGTAAGGTAGTTTATTCGCGTTACCCTTTAATTTTTTATCCGGGTCACGTGGCTCCCAAAGTTTTGCTATGCTAAATTACTGGGATACTTAAATGGGTCCAAGGTGAAGTGGATTTAACGTTTGCGCTTATTCTACAAATGCTTACCGTGTATTTTACATACTTATTTTTCAATCCCATCTCTTCTTACTTCAAACCTAAATAAATAAAATTAATTTCTAGCAGCATAGATTGCTTCTTTTGTTGAATCAGTAGTTTTTAATGCAAAATTACATTTTCGTACATAAATTATATGATTGGAATAGAAAAAAAATAAAAATAACCTAAATATTCAAACTCTAGCGCTGTCGCTCCACTGCAATCATCCAAAGGGTTAGAGGTAACACTAGTGTCCATACTTTTGGAAATCCCATTCTCTGTTATCCAATGGACAGACTTGGCGGGTCTTTAACCAACGTGATATACAATGGAAGTGGAAAGCATGATTACAAACACCCCAGGCCACTGTGCATTCTTCACTGGTGGCAGATGCTTGATTTGCTTGACACTCAATGCATAAATCCATAATGTGATTTCGGCAAATGGCGCAATTGTCAACAACAATGTCTGGAAAAGAAACAGGAATGGGAAGAGTTATATTGTGTTGAATGTAGATGTAAACAATGTAAAACTGTGACAGCATGAAAAAATAATATAGGTAGGCGCTTCAACACATCTGGCTGTACAATGAAATGTCAAAATTTTGAATGAAAAATTTTGGAATTCTTAAAAACTGAATGACATTGTATAGGAAACCACCTCAATATATTTTTGCAGTATTTGCCAGGATGACAGATCTTAATGCAACTAACTGCATTCTTCTGCCATTAGCAGAGGTTGCAGAAAGACGCCGCATTGTCGGCTCAAATCGCCGCCAAGTTACTGAATAAAATGTAATAGTGCGCCAACATTTTCACCAAATTCGTATAAATATTTTAGAAAATATATTTAAAGATGATAGTTTTTAATTATTTTCTTTTGCGCCGAAATTTTGCCGCCGCCGACGCTGCTTGGTTTACAACTGACGAGTTCCGCTTCATTGTCCGGCAACGATCTGTCGTCGCTCAAATAACCAAGGTTATGTTAAATGCGAATACGAATTTCTCGTGTAAACAATTTTACTTACCCCAAGCCCACAAGGCTACAGCATTCCACTGGAAACAAAAGTAAAAAATATTAGTTTATGACTTTCCAAAAATACATAAGTTCTGAGGAGTTTGCATCTACCTTCTTCACTTCGAATCGTTTCTTCTCACCCTTGCTACTGGATGAGGGCATCTCGAACTCTTCTTCATCTACTTCCATTTTGTTGTCTATAGTATTGAATGGATATCATGAGATGGATAGTACTAAATTTTACAAAGTAAACAATCATTACCTTTTCAATTTTCTTTTGTTACCTTCAAATAAAAAAAATTTTGCAAGTCTTAGTCTTGTTTAGGGTTTCGTAGCTCTACTTGCAAACACTAATAGTATCGATGCTGGCAATATCGATATTATCGATATTTTAGTTTAAAAGAGAGTATCGATTGATAGTTTTTTTTTATCGATATTATCGGACGAAACGCCAGTGCTAATGCTATGTTCTCATTGCACTTTCAATCACGTTGTTCGCTCTCAGAATTAGGTACACGAATTAATCCATTTATACGGCACGTAATTCATAGCAGCATAATTCATTTTTTCCTGCAAGAATCTACTAGGTTTGCAATTTCTTCGATATCAAAAAGGTAACATCGGTTATCGTAGTAAAAAACGTTTACATTCTTGCAGAAATTACATGAAATTAGCATTGATAATAATGGAAGAAATTATCGTTTTCCTCCAAATATTATTTTATCTTTTATTTAACTATTTTTATTATTGTTTTGAACTTTTTGTATAAATGTTGACATTTTATAAATATTTTTCTGCTTTTAAATTCGGTTGGAGAATCACCTGTCGAAATTTTTTGTCGATACAAACATTGTGAAAATATTGCCTCTTTTGTTTCCAGTTTTCTATCGGAATTCCAACTCGTGGACAAAAATTGTACCTCGGATGAGAGAGAGAGAGAGAGAAAAAACTTTACTTTCGTTTATAAACATGCTTTCGTTTGCGCTTATTCTACTTATTCCAATACCATATCTTCTTACTTCAAACCTAAATAAATACAATTAATTTCTAACAGCAGAGATTACTTCTTTTGTTGAATCGATAGTTTTTAATGCAAAATTACGTTTTCATACACAAATTATATGATTGGAATAAAAAAAATAACCTAAATATTCAAACTCTAGCGCTATTGCTCCACTGCAATCATCCAAAGGGTTAGAGGTAACACTAGTGTTCATACATTACGAAATCCCATATTCTGTTATCCAATGGACAGACTTTGCGGGTCTTTAACCAACGTGATATACAATGGAAGTGGAAAGCATGACTACAAACACCCCAGGCCACTGTGCATTCTTTACTGGTGATAGATGCTTGATTTGCTTGACACTCAATGCATAAATCCATAATGTGATTTCGGCAAATGGCGCAATTGTTAACAACAATGTCTGGGAAAGAATCAGAAGATGGGAAGAGTTATATTGTGTTGAATGTAGATGTAAACAATGTAAAACTGCGACACCATGAAAAAATAATATAGGTAGGCGCTTCAACACATCTGGCGGTACAATGAGAGGTCAAAATTTTGAATGCAAATTTATGAAAATTTGTTAAGTTCTTGAAAACTCGTATTATAATAACCACTGAATGGCCATTTCTATTTATTTTATTTTGTATTCATGATGGTGAAAGATTTTGATGCTACTACATGCATTATTCTGCCATTAGCAGAGGTTTTACGAATCGTTTCTTCTCACCCTTGCTACTGGATGAGGGCATCTCGAACTCTTCTTCATCTACTTCCATTTTGTTGTCTATAGTATTGAATGAATATCATGAGATGGATAGTACTAAATTTTACAAAGTAATGTGGCGTTTCCACTGCACTTGATTCGCTCTCTATTCGTTGTTTGACCCTTAACTATGAAAAAACTACTTAATTCTTCACACAAAATTTCCTGAGCGAACACTCATATTTGTACATTGTTCAAATGAAATCACTCTCAGAACAACGAAAAAATGAGTCCCATCCCTAACAAATGAGAGCATTTATCGAAAAAATAAATTATGACATGTAAAAATTAAAAATAGGAAAATTTAATGAAATTTAAAAATTTTTTGGGAAGACTGAAAATTATGAATGAAAACTACAATGTTGAATGGCCTATGTACATTCAAACGAAAGTTCATTTTGTTTTCTATCTCATTCGAGGTACGCATTTTGTCCACAACTTAAAATTTCCACAGAAAACTGGAAACAAAAGAGGTAATATTTTCAAAATGTTTGTATCGGCAGAAAAAATGATTGACAATTGTCTCTCCAGCAGAATTTAAAAATAGAAAAATACAAAAATATGTTCAAAATGTCAACATTTACACAAAAAGTTGAAAACGTGAATGAAAACTATAAAATTAATGATATAATAAATCTTTGGGAGAAAAACAATCATTTCTTCTATTCATATTAGTGAGAATTTAATGCATTTTAGTATAAATTCCCATTAAAATCAACAAACAAAGTTTTTGAAAAAAGGAATTATTTTACAATGAATTACAAATCGTTCCGTATGAACGGGTTAATTCGTGTACCTAATTCTGAGAGCGAACAACGTTGTTCGGTTTCCAATGGAAACATGCTGTAAACAATCATTACCTTTTCAATTTTCTTTTGTTACCTTCAAATAAAAATTTTTTTGCAAGTCTTTGTATGCTGGCAATATTGATAGTATCGATATTTTAGTTTAAAAGGGAGTATCGATTGATAGTAGCTTACAATAGTTGTGTTCCAGTACTTTTTAGTAGTAAAACTAGCAGAAGAGAGAACAGTTCGAAATGTCATTCTCATTTAGGTTTGCTCAAAAAATAAGGGAACGGAAAATTAGCAGAAATGCGATAAAATGTCAAAATTCAAAAAGTAAACAGCCTAAATCGGACTGGTGAAACCTTACTGAAAAGGTCGCCAACATTTAAAAAATGAGTATTGAAGACGATAAGTTAAAATTAATAATTTATAATAATAATTAATAATCTGATTCCTCATTCAGCCAGTACTCTTCACTGCTGGAATCATCCATTAGTTGCTCCATATATTCTCTTTTTTTTTTTTTTGCACGACAAATATTAGTTTTTCCATTAGTTTTCAAGTTGATCATTTTCTTTATTGAAATGTATCAATACATTTTTCAACCTTATTAGCCCTGCCAATTAAATGTCAAATTTACAATATGCACATTTCTGCTCGGCCAAATTCATGTAGCTAAAACAAGCAGAAATGTGCACCACTCAGCGCCATTTTTTTCTCGAGAGAGCTGCAAGTTTTGCTAGTTTTTGGAGTACGGGAACGCGTTGTAGCAGAATTAGTGCTAATTAATACTAATTTGCAGGTTCTGGAACACAACTAATGTGTTGATACAATTTTTTTTCTTGAAAACCCAAACAATCTGGGATAACAAATGATAAAATGAAGCATGGAAGAATCAAGAAGGAAAGACATGCAATCATATGTTTACAATTTTTTTATATTATTCATTTGACAACATCTCATTGTCAAAATATTTATTTTTAAATCCAGTGTACAGGGTGAGAATTGGTTACCTTTGGTACGAATTATAACCTTCAAACGGCCAATGAAACCGTCACACGCTGCCCGAATGTTGCTCTGCGGTATTTTTGTCCATTCCCGGCGAAGCGCTTGCTTGAGGTGATCGACACTTTAGTATTTTTTAGTGCCAACCTTGCTTTCCAAAATACTCCAGACACAATAGTCCAACGGATTGGTATACGGAGATTGTGGTGGCCATTGTGCGCTGGAAATAATGCGAGGAACCACACTCTATAACCTTTCTTGGGTGGCGCGTGCTGAGTGCAATGGTGCTGAGTCCTGTTGGAATGTCCAAAGTCGGCGGCCAAAATGTTTGCGTGCCCAAGGCTTTAATACACCTTTCAGAATATTTTCGATATAATATTCGGCATTTATTCTGTTGCCACGGCCGATTAATACGAGCGGTGACTGACCATTGACTGTTATGGCGGCCATCACCATGGCCGGTGCTTGAGTTCTGGTGGCCAACCGCAGCTGACCTCTTTGGCAAGTAAACACAATCATCACTGCTGGACAACGAATACTTTCTCATCGGAGAAAACCGAATTCGGCAGTTCACCACTTTCGGTCAAGTGAAGCTCCTTTGAGTCTATTTTCTTTCTGTTGCGGTGTAAGTTCTTCCACTTTTTGGAATTGCAATGGCTTCACCCCGAGCTCATTTTTCAATATTTGCCGAATGGAATATTGCGATATGTTCAGCTCACGAGCCATTTTGCGACGCAGGTTTCGATCAAGTCGTTTCTTTAATTTTCAAACCATTTCTGCCGATGTTGCTGTTTTCTACCAGTACCACGGTAACGAGCGATGGTACGCGACACAAAAGATTTGTTCAATTTTAAATGCTGGAGTCCTCTAACAAAAGTCACTTGCGATTTTCCAGCCAAATATAAAGAAATCACACTATCACGCTAGAATTCCATCACGAATAACTTTTTTCTGGAAAATTCTCACCAAAATACTTTTGTACGCTGGTATACAATATAATGAGCTGTCGCTGAAATAATTTTAACAGCTGTCGGACCAGTGGCTTAGAAATTACAGCATTCTGAAATTGGTAGCAGTTTTTTCATCTCACCCTGTATACCTAAAAGTATACCTATATGTCAGAGCCGCACTCGAATCATGCCGTAGTTTTCCTTTATAAATTGACATTAAAGTGTCATGCCAAGCTGATTAAACGAGGACAAAGTTCAATTGTATAATCCGAATTGTGAGATTAGTATTTATATTTTCCAAATTGTTTGTTTTTATTTATTTTTTAATAATTTAACAAACTTATGCCTATGAAAAGTAACACTTTAACTAATTTAAAATACTGTATTATTCTACCATAGAAATATTTATAATACAAATTATTTATAACAAAACAAAATATTTATAAACTACTATCATTAATTTAATGTGCTTTGGCCTTGTATGTGATTTTCCATACTTCAAAGAGACATATTGTCGAATGGAATCTATAGAATATAGCCAAAGGCATTGAAACATGAGTTATAATGGTCCAAGCCCAGGCACCGTAGAATTCCAAATGGGTTTGACGAAACACTGCCCGACCCTTGATCAGCGTATTTACAAACCATATCGCCATATTGGCTACCAAGAGGAATGTGATAATTTCTCGACCCGGTTTGCGACGAATCTGTTTTGAGCCTTTACAACGACGATGACTGGCGTGAAGGATGAACATTGTTTGCAGGGCCGTTTGTAATATATTAAAAACTTCGGCAATAATGCCCTCAACACGATCCGGCACTGTGTCCCATTCGGAGAAGTAGCTGCCCAATATGCTGAACATGCCATAGAGGTAGGCTCCTGAGGAGAATTAGAGTGAAATTGTAAATATTTTTTCATGGCTTAATTTTAAAAATATACTCTTACCTGTTTGGGCCACCACAAGCAGTAGATTATCCAATTCCATGGAATGATGTTCATCACTGGTATCCTTGATATATTTCAAGTCCCGCATCAGTATCATGCCTAGAAGATGAAAGTGAGTTGTATTTGATATAATACGTTTTGTTTCGAATTCCAATATACCTGTGATAATTGCCGCTGCGCACAAGAAATATATGGCCGTTTCCCACAACGTAACCTCTTGTGTGGCAACCAATTCATAACCCGGTTGCATGTACAGTACAAAATACATAATCATTGATATAATGGTCATGACAATGATCAAAATACCAAAGAAGAGACCTCTATGTGATTGGGAGCAGTCTACCGAGAAATGATGAGCAGGCTTTTGATGTACCGGCTTTACGGAGTTTTTCCGCGATTTATCAATATCTGGTATAGATTTTACGGTTTTCCACATTTCATATAAAATAACCGCACATATCAGGGAATATTCAATGGTGCAGGGGAAGAGGAAGGGGGACAATTTCTGTGAAAAAGCAGAGAATTTAAAGAGAGTGGACATAGGGTTAAAAGTATAATTTCTTACCTGCACCAATGCTCCCATAATGGTGGTACGAGAACAACCATGAGCCGCTGCTGTTGCCGCCTCGGTGGTGGTGGCCGCAGCCGCTGTAACATTTTGCAGAACATGACCAACAACTGCTGCAATGGTACTATTTTTGGCATTCTCTCCAATATGTTTGGTATGATGCAGTGATGCATTTACTGCCGTCCAATCGACGCCACCATGTGAACCGCTCATAGCATCATGATCGGAACCCTCTTCGTGATGACCAATATGGAATATTTCATGTTTGGTCTCTTCCACCAAAACATACAACCATTCACACAAGTTGGTGGCCACCATGTGCATCAAACCAAAGCGCGAGAACACCTTATGCCGCGCCATATCCAAATAGGTTGTATTCAAGAAAATAAATTGTACCTGGGCTATACACAAGACCATGCGACACAGGGGCGTTATGGCTACAAATACATCCCGGCATCCGGCGTGGCCATTCAATTCGAAAAATTGACCAAATTCCAAACCTGAATATACCATGGTTCCAATGGCAAATGCTATGGCACCCACTCTCAAATAGAAACTACCGAAATGTGTGACTTTGTGTTTTAAATGCACATTGTTGCGTTCGTCTGCAATAAGGAAATAGGGGTTTTAAATCCACTTATTATCCGCAACGATTTTGTTGAATACTTACGATAATTTTTCAGGGCATTGATAAGGGTACGATTCCGAAACGCTGAGATATACAAAAATGTAACAAAAACTATGCTAAGCACATAGAGATAAACATAGAATCCCTGATAGACATAGGTGGGAATTTGTTCCGTAATAACCTCCGTTATTGGTAGACAAACACCCAGTAGGACCAAAACTTTACAATAGGTGGCTGAAAGAGCTGCACTTATGGCATCGCTGAAATTAAATTAAAGATAAAATGCGTATTAAGGGAAAGGTATTAGACCAGGGGTGAGTGAGATAAATATTTAGATCTTATCGAATCTCGGATTTCTTATAAGACGATTGATCAATAAGCAATCAATCTAAATATCCCTATGGTTAGGAAGTCGTCGGCCTTGTAAAATAACAGAGTCAAAGTGAAAATACATAAAACACTTTTTTGACTGGCTTAAGTCATCGGCTGGCTTCTTCGGAAAAGAACAAAGGAGCGTAGGGACAAAATCAAACTAAGTCAACCTAAAACTCCTTTGTTCCTCTACGAAGAAGCCAGCCGATGATTAAAAACGAGTCAAAAAGACGTTTTATGTATTTCAACCTTCAGTTGCACTGCTGCTGACGTCTGGAGTTGCCCTCATGGAAAGGAAACTTAGGAAATAACATGCTGCGTCAGGGAAAATTATAAAAATGAAGGAAGAGATAGCGACTCTTCTCATAAAAGACGGAAGAAGAAATAGGTGGTTTATTTAAGTTTGACATAAGAGGAAGCTAAGTGGTTTTTAGAGATGCTTATGAAGAAGTCCAGACTAGCCGCTACTAACAGAGAAAGTCAGCCGAATGCAACAGGGAGACTGTATTCGGAAGATGTTAAGGTCTTCCCTAAACTTATGCAGGCTCAACATGTTGACACCAAAAAGGAAGTCCGTGGCTTGAAGAAATAAGTGGTTGACATAACATCCGAATTGAAGAACGAGCGGATGGGACGTGAAACAGCGGTAGAAAACAT